GACGAGCGTAAAGTGTCGCAAACCAAGCTTAGACTTCTCGAACGGTATTCCAGGCTTCTGACAAGCAATAACTGCGGTAGAGTTCCGTGGTTACCGGTGGGATCGGTTGCGAGCAGAGAGGTCGTCTACGCACCTACTTGGTACAGCCTTCCTTCAGGCGAGAAGATTGTGATGTGACGGTCAAACCCGGCGCTCGTTCCCCGTGCCATGATGACGCTGCATTTGAGTATTTCGAGGGTCAAAATTCACTGCGAGTTCCCTCCAATGCAGAGCAAGGCGCGGAAGAAAGTCAACTACAGTGACTCTATGTTACGCTTTTTTGATCGCTACTTACCACTGGCCGGTCAGTAAAAGCGAAGGGCGTTACTAGCAATGCTAAAACGATTCCAGGGATGCCAAAACTACAGGCTTGAGTACAACCGGGAAGAGAAAACGCGACCGTTTTTGGCTGTGGCTGACGTTGGCTCCGGCTTGTCTACAATTTTAGCAAAGTCAAACATCTAAAAGATGGCGATGATGACGTCATTTACGTCTCGTAAAGTAGGCAAAATTTTGTTTATTTTTCAGAAAAAGCATATAAAAAACTTTAAAAGCGTGTTGCTTTTGTTACATCATAGCTTGTAATAATGTAAACCGTTTTTAAATATTGCCATGCAAAAGTGTGATCTCAAAAATTAGCATCAATCACCCGCAGAAGTAGATGTCGTTTTTTTTTTTGTGCAAGCGACAATAGCTTTATTTTTCTGCTTTTAAATGTTGTAAAAACAAGAATTTAGCATTAAGTATTGTTTTTTCACACAACTGCTTGTTGACGTAGTTAAACAGTAGATTGCGATGAAAAGTAGCGTCAAAGTTTGTGCAGTGGCTAGATTCTGTACCAATTCACAACTAGCGCCACTATATTTTTAATGAACAGTGTCGGGCTTTGAGTGGGGTGGCTAGATTGAAAAGGTGTGAAAAGCGGGCTGTGTTTCTCTTACCCAGAAGCGCCGTCTTGCGCAATATCTCCGCTAGGCCAAAACATAGCGTTAGAGTCGGAGGCACTGTCAGCTAACATGGGGAAGAGGGTAGTGTAGGCAACTGCGACGGGAGCTTCGTCGGCGGTCCAGGTGTTCTGTGGGCGTTCCACGTGGTTTTACGAGTACTTTGTGCTAGTGTGCATTATGCAGGGACCGTGCTTGATAGTCTGGCTCTGCGGTTCAAGGTACGGAACATACACGGCAAAGGTGACACTTATCCGTGCGCCGGCATGCTGACCGATGTGCAGTTCGGAAGCTTTCTTTTACAGATTTCTTTTATTGTGAGGCCAAAAAGGAAAAAAAAAAGTATATGGAAGTACCCGGCTCGTAACACAAGTATGCAAAAGAAAATTCGGCCATTTAAAAAAACGTACTCACATATTTTGACTCAAGTTAAATGTAAAGAATCCGAACAAGTGCTGCATGCAAGCGTTTTTATGCGCGTGTAGCTAAATTAAATTGCTTTAATTATAGAGCTCTTAAAAATCTGAACGATTGCTTGGTAAGTGAATACTTTGGAATGTTTCATTTTCTTTTTTACAACAATATATTTTCATCGAGTATTTATAGCAACGCAGCGAAGCTCACTTTGTGTATTGTAGGCACAAATAGCACAAATGCATTTATTGTGCCCATATTGCAAAACAGCCGATAAGTTAAATAATTAGATAAGTGGATATTGAGGGGCTCCTGCACACACCATGACCATACAGCTGTAAGCAGCTAATTTAAAGCAGGCTGACACGTGTTTTTCACGCATTTCACCTGCATTCAAAGGTAGTTGGTAGGCAGCTTGTCGCAGCTCTATAGCGTGTTGCAGATATTGGCTGCTTCAAACATGTAAGCGATTCGCAAAATCTATGGCAAAATTCGTTTACATCACAATCGACGGATTATTTTCGTTTGACGGGAATTTATCCCAGGCAATAGCGTAAAGAACATCCACCGCTGTACTATATCATACTATATATGGCGCTAATTAAATTTGGTTCAAACCATGAAACTATAATTACTATCTCTCTTCCTATACAAATTTAAGAAAATGCTCGCTCCGTGACGGCGTGACCTCAAGCGTAATTCAATTAAGGAACAAATGGACAAAACTATGCGCACTGTTAAGCTACGATTAATAGTACAAGACAATGCAATTTATCAAAGCTTATCATGCAATAATGCTAGAAAAACTTTCGAAATCATATAATGTTCTGCATGTTGAAGCTTTCTTTTTTTGCTCCCATAATTATATAGATGAATATTAGGAAGATGGAAATCATTTTGCCTTTACCAAGCATGTAAACAGTAGCTCATTAGCTCTTCATTGAATAATTGTTGCGTTTTGGATGATTGAGCCGTCTCTGATATTTCGGGAAAACAGCGCTAGTCTGGGACGCACAGAAGCGACAAAACCAGCGCTGTTTTTCCGACGATACAGTACGCACCAACAAGCCCGCATAAATTGACACTCTATTTATGTCTGGCTGTAAGACTGCCGAAAGGCTCGCACTATGCCGCTAATTATTCTCCAGTATGGTATACGTGCATTGAGAATTCGTACGTAAAGTTGTTCATCACGCAATTGATATAACTCTTTCGGTGGTGAGAATCCAGCATCGACCAACGCGAGTGCACGGGCTTCGGCAGACCGAAGGGGCGGTGTATAACAAGAATCCCCACCTCCCCCAGCCGTGATTCAGCCATGGTGTAAGTATAGTTTTCTTACACCGTGAATTCAGCACAGCTTTACGCTCTCCCCTCCCCCTTTCCCAAAGAAAATATCCGCATGACGCCGATGAGCGAGTGGCGCAGAGAGCAAGCTGGCAGTGCCTCCGACTACAGCGCCACTGCTGCGGGATCAGCTCGGAGCGGCCGGCTTTCACAACTCTTAATTCTAGCCACCCTTTTTGAGCGATGCGCCACGGCTCTTCCTTACCAAAAGTAGGTTGACTGAACGTTTTCTTGTCTACACCTCTTAAAATAGGCTTTTTTTTTCGTCATATGAGCTTTACAGTTCAGTTTATGAGCACTTCAGCCAACAAGATGAAGCTAGGCAAAGAACTGTTAGTAGAGAAGATAGTACATTGATAATTATAAGAGCTTTCGCGAACCGTTTCGGCGCCACCCGGCCGGAATGGTGGTTCGATTGTATGCTCTATATATATGGCGTGAAAAGAATAATGCAATGGAAGCGTGTGTCTCTGACACATCTGAACATCGATCGCTTTCACTCAGCCGATCTGCTCTGATGATGTCGACCGTACACAGTCGTCGGTGCTCCCGCTGCCACGTTCGCACGGTTGAGCGCTGCCTGTTCTAAATTGCCGCTTTTCGGTGGCTATGGGTGTACAATCGGCAACTTTCTCCTGTAGGTTCCTAAAGTGGGGAGGGTAGCTACGTACAAACCTGCGCTTCCATGTGCTGGCACTGCTCGAGGCAGTCTGCCATGTTTTTGTTGTACTAAGTTCTTTTTTTTTTTTTCCAGAAGCTAACGTCTGCGATTCATCCAGCTAGCATTTTACAACAGCTCAACGCGTCCAATTTTACGTTGTGCTAAAGGCGCGTTTACACCAGAGCGACATGACCGCGGCGGAGAAGACACGAGGCAGACAGACGGTCGGCCGAAGTAAATGACGACGCCTCAAAAAGTATGCTGTGTAGTCTAACATCACTGCAGACAGGAAACCCCAGCAAAACGAATCGGCAAACTTGTCTTCGGCAGATCTGTGGTCGAGTGAAAATTTGCCAGTAATTCGTTCCGTTGAACATTAAGTACGGCAACACGATAAACGCTCTTTACAAAAATGACATTTCGCACCAAGGGGAACTACGGGGGGGGGGGGGGGGGTGATGCGAAGCAGCGCTGGTGTTGTGTCTATAATTGTTGTTTCTATTCGTGTGTTCCCGTGTATGTTTCATTTGTGCGTGGAGTTGTTTTTGACGATAGCGCGAGAACATAACGACGACACAGTCGTACCAACTAGCCCAAGCTGCTTCTAAGTTGTTTTTATGTTATGTACCGCTTATGTTACACCCCCTCCTCCCACTTGTGTGTATTACCGTGTGCCGCAAAGTGAACAACCAGTGCTACTAGGAGAGTGCAATGGAACGAGCGAGCGCAGCATTATATACGAGCGCACACGCTAGGAGAGGGGGACAGTTGGGGCATGCGCAGTGGGGGGGACGGTCGCCGATGGACGGACATAGCCCCGAGCGATAGCTGCTCCACATCTAAAATTACAATTAGGTACACGCACACCTCTGACCTCCACGGAAGCTGGGAGCGACTAAAGGAGAACGAGCGAGGAAGGAGGAGTGGCACGCCTCATTGTGCTCTCGTAACTTCGTACAGAAATTTGTTCGAGTAGGGTTCCCAGCGGTCGGAAACACCGCCGCTATGCGTAATTACGTACGGTTACTTTCAGATAACCCAACAACATCACGTGGGCTTAGAACAGCGGCTGGACAACTTATAGTGTTTGAGAGTACAATTTTTTCTCCAGCTTCAGTGAAAGCAGTACGCGGTTTTAATCACGTACAAAAAGTTTATTTCATCGTAGAACGCTACGATATTGTTGGACTAATACGCAAATAACTAGGCACAAATCATATAAAATGCGGTGCAAAAAATGTTTTTAATGATTTAAAGTGCTCGGTACTCTACTCTGGGAGAGCAGAAAGCTAATATATATATATAATTAAAATGTCCCTGAAGCATCATACGCCCGAATGACTAATCTCTGACATTTGCACCTTGTATCCGATTCTCAAGTTCCACGACTTTCATTTAGTTGTCAATCAGGATATGCTATACACTTTAGCATTTTATAAAGTAGCGTATGGCTGTCATACAAGTTTTATCAGTAAGCGAAAACCGAAGCTTTCCGCAACCAACGGGCGTCGTCACAGTTGGCGGCCGCCTGTGACGCAGACGGCAGTGAGCCAACCGCATGACTGACGATCCATCGCAAGCCGATGTAAGCCGAGGCGAGTACCGCATGGAAAGTGTTTATTGCGATTGCGCATGGAAACTAAAGAATCACGTTGTTTTGGTAGCTGTGCGGCTTCTGAACCATGTCATTAGCAGCAGCAGCGTCCGTTAGTTATAAGCGCCTGTTTCGCAACCTCTTCTCAATACAGGTACGTGAAGTGATTGTCTTTAACAGGGTAGCAAATTGAGCCAAATGGAAAATGCTCGTGACGGTCGGCGATTGATGAAGAATCAATCACCCGCGCTCCACTCGGGCGCATGCTTTCGCAGTTTGTTGGCCGTGTCGCGCAGCTGGCGACTGCCGCCGCCGCCGAGAATGGGACGGCGACGCTACGCACGCCGGTCTACCTTCAGCACAAGATGCGCCAGTTGCGACGCAAGCTGATCGAGAAAGATCGAGCAAGGGTGCAGCGGCTCGGTCAACTGGGCAACACTCGTCGGCCCGTGGTCACCTGCCGCCGGCCGGAGCGTAACTGGAACTGGGGACAGACTACAGTGGGACAGCCGCTCGCATCGGGCGGCTGGGCTCGCCCGTCGCGGAGCGACGGCGATCACTTCACGGTGCGGCGGCTGGCCGACGCGCCGCCTCCTCTAGAGGCGGACCCGTTTCCGGACTGGCTGGACCCGCGACTGCTGTCCGCGCTGCAAGCGATGTCCATCACCAGGCCGAGTCCTGTGCAGGTCAGTGTCGCACCGCGTGAACTGCCGACCAAACGACACTCGCGCGCTCAGAACAAACCCCTCAATAAGGGAGACTGTGGTCGGTTACAGTCTAAAATGTGATTGAAGCTTTTGTTACAGGCTACTGTCACAACAAGCTCCGACCCTCGTGTTGTATTCGACCTAACCTTGCCTAGTAGCAAGCAATGCTCATGCACACAAACCAGACCCCTTAAAGGGACACTAAAGTCATATAACAATTTACGTCAGAGTAAAAGCTCAATGTATGACAACATATAAAATGACAATATTATCAACAACATTGACATACCGAGAAATTAAGCCAAATGCACAAGAACACAAGTGGTGCAGTAGGACGTTCTCGAAATGATCCCGAAGATATCAGACGGACTGCCTACAATTAATCACTTGTGATCGATCCAGCTGCACTAAATAAAGAGCTTTCCGTGCATCAAGGTATGCAATAAAATGCTGCTTGTTCGTTTCTGTTTGATTTATGAAAAAAAAAAAAGAAACGCCAGACTTTACTATGGGGAATAATGCGAGTAGTTCAAAAATTCAAATTTCGTGTGGTTACACTGGACAGGTGGTGCCATCTAGCTGGGCGCAGTTGAACCAAAAAATGTCTGCGATCTCGGAGCCAATGGCCTGAAATAGATCAATGGCTGTTGTTGCTGCGGCTTTCGGTCTGCTGCTACTAGCGCAGTAAAGCCGGGCAACGACGTGCGCGGCAATAGTGACTTGAGTCGGTCTGGTCAGTCCGCTTCTTAAGGTAGGTAATTTGAAGTGCGCTGACTCGATTTTGAACCACTAAAACGTGGCTTTATTTCAAAATAGGCCCTTCCTTGGCATAAAAGTAATACTACTAAGTTTCTAGACCGCTATTTCAACAATCAACGTCGACTTAATAGTTGCCTTTAGTGTCCCTTTAACAAGGTCGCATACAATCCAAGAATAAATACATTTATTTATTCTTAAGTTGAAGGCGTAGCTTGTATTGCAAGCTGGGATCTCTCATCATGGTTTCGGAACGTAAAACCCGACGTATTATATAATGTATTGCAAGCTCTGCCCTCTGAACTATGTCACGCTTGTCAGTCACCTACATAAGAGAGTCAGGCAAGCTAGTTCCCTTTAAATTCTGAGCACTTTTTTGTGCTTATGTGAATACCACAAATGCCGAAAATTAAAACGTCATCATTCCTACTTCAAATATTGTCCTTGTCTAGCCCATGATATATGAAACGTTCAAGCTCCGCCCTCTAAACCATGGCATGCTTGTCAATTGCCTATATAAAAGAGTTGAGATAGCTGTGGAGCTATTCTCACGGTGTCCAATTCATGGACATGTCTTATTCTCTCGAGCGCATTCAGTTATGCAAAAAAATGGTGAATCATGACGTCATGGCACGCTTGATCACGTCGGGGCACCGAACTTGCCAGTACGGTTTAAAAGGCGTAAAAAGAAACTAAGTGGACAAAATGTAGAGTAAGAGGACTTTTAAACAAATTCAACAAATCTGCACATCTGTATAAATGTGTTGAGATGTTTGAAGACTGATGCAGGGAATACGTACAGACCTTTCAGGGGCGTCAGGCGGGCGGCCGCGTTTAACCTTATTGAAGGGCTAACTAGATTAGTTATGCTCGACCTCAGAGATGCCTGCTAAAAGCAGATCTCTGGGGGCAGTATTTTTTAGGGCGAAACGCACTCTGCCTGTCTCATTCGGGTCGAGGGTTGTGAAAGCTGCATGGCGTCAAAGTGACATCGCGGAAGAAAGACCGGAAGCGTAGCGGCACGCTCTAGCAAATAAGGCGAGTCCGAATCAGACATGTTCACGAGTTAAACACCGCGAGAACAGCTCTCCTGTTTTCTTTCGAATCATAAGCACTTTTTCTGTGCTATTTTAAATACCATGGATACTAAAACCTAATTATTCTTTGTCACTCCTACTTTTAGATCGCCTTTGCCTGAACCATAAAATTGGAATCGTTGCTGAATTTTGCCAGGATGTGAATTTTTTTTTTTACCTGAAACCAGCAAATCAAACTTTTCTCTGTATCGGAATATGAACTGTTTGAAGCCCTGCAACATGATGTAAATGAGCAAATTTGATTGAATGGAACGTCTATGCTGAATCTCTCTGGGTTAGACGGTGATGGGTGAGGGTGGAGCTTGTATTTACCGTAAAATGCTGGGCAAGTGTCCTCTGTACGGTGAAGTATAATCCAACCAGATCTGGGAGGAGGGCGCTCGGTCTGAGACCACTCATTTGCGCTTATCTGGCGCGTATATCATATCTCCCGAAAAATAGAGGGGGCACTTGACTCTTTACGGTATTTTTAGGCTGTAAAACCGACTAAGTCCAGTGAATTACCGTATGACCTCCGAGTTTTGAGAAGCCACCTTCGAAGTCATCGCACGCTCTCCTTCTAGAAAGAAGGTTGTTCAGACATGAGACTGTGTCAACTCAACACTGGATCACTGTAATGGCACAAATGACTTGGGAACTGCATACAGAGCACATTATGGATAAATTAACTGATTGGACACAATCTCACACACACGGACATCTAGAAATTCGAAGAAATGCAAAAGGGAACAGAAATGAACACAGTGCTTGCATCATGTGAAAGCAGCAACAGCCAAGATGAAGACGAGTCCACTTGCCAAAAATGTTGGCACCAGCAACACCCCATCGTCCATGAATTTCTGCGGGGTCAAGGTTTTCACATTTGACTTTGCATGTATACTCAAACTTCAATTTAACGAACACAGATATAAAGAAATATCGCTTATAACGAGCTTCGCCGCGGTTGTCTAGTGGCTAAGGTGCTCGGCTGCTGACCCGCAGGTCGCGGGTTCGAATCCCGGCTGCGGCGTCTGCATTCCCGATGGAGGCGGAATTGTTGTAGGCCTGTGTGATCAGATTTGGGTGCACGTAAAGAACCCCAGGTGGTCAAAATTTCCGGAGCCCTTCACTACGACGTCTCTCGTAATCATATGGTGGTTTTGGGACGTTAGACCCCACATATCAATCAAATCGCTTATAACGAAGTAAATGAAACATAGTCTTGCAAAATATACAATGTTGGAAATAACCTTTAAACGAATTTTTGGACAAAGCAGAACTTATTTTCTCGTAAAATGCAACTTCGTTATTATATTAATGAGACCGATGTTATAGTGAGGTTTGAGTATATTCTCAAAGGGTGTACGGACTTAAGTGAAATACCCATTATGTATCTATGAAGCAATATGTTCACCTACGTATTTGCACATATTCTTAATGATGTGTCTTATGGTGAGGATGATGAATAATTATATTTCTAGGCCTTCTTTAAAGGAGAGGAAGCTTTACGCAGCTCTCTCATTACTCATACACATGGTGTGACAGGTAGTGTGATTCCATGTCCCTGCTATGCATCATTACAGGTAGGAACATCAATCCCTTACTTGTCAGCATTAAAGTAGTATTAGGTTCTTAACTGGTCATTGCATACTGCATCATGTTATTGATAACCTTAAGGACATTTCTAATTTGCAATACGATACCGATGTCATTTGTAACTGATGCGACAAATTGCCACGAAAGAAAACTTCTAAATGTCATGTTATGGGAGTAATTAATTGCACCAAAACCAACAACAACATTTTCTATATCCTTAACAGCTACACTTTAAACCCTGTTACTCCCTTCCGCTGTCTTGGCTTGTATATTACTCACAATTTGTCTTGGAATAGGCATACTTAACATGTAATTAATAACCTAAACAGCATGCTTGTATTTCGATGCCATCTGTTTCTTCACACCTAAATTTTATATTTTACATAACATTAATTAAGTCTTAATTGGAATATGCTTGTTCTGTCTGAGATTAATCTAGCTCCATAATAATTACAGCCCTTGAATTCATTCAGAACCATGCAGTCCGTTTTGTGCTTCCTAATTCCTTTGCTACGTCCGTGTTTCTTCAATGAAAGCTAGTTTAGGTTTACCAATACATAATACTAGTGTTACGCGGTGACTTTTGATCAAGATCGGGTGCAATCTGTATTAAATTTCTTGATCGTCATTGACTTCCTTCGCTCAAGCTGGTGTAGAAAACTTTTTAATAGGCTTGTGTGAATATTCGAATGCTTCAAATGTTCGAACAAATATTAGTGTGCTCAAATTCACGTCAATTCGAATTCAAATTGCTAAAAGTTTCAATCAATATGAACAGATAGATGTATACTAGTCTACATTTATTTCCCTGTAGATCTGGTTTCACTGCAGTAAGGAAGTGCTAAGCCATGAAAGCACCTATTCAACTGTATATTGAATTTGTTTGCATATAACCTCCTGTAGAGGTGGTTTCATGGCAGTAGTGGGGTGCTGTGCCATGAATAGTAACGAACCTTCAGTAGTAATCAGTTTTCTTGTCTAGCTGAGATGTCTCATGTGCTTTTTTTCTTGTTTTTTTTACTTGTGCTAAACGGATTCTCTGCTCGATTTGAAATTTGTTAGAATAACGTCGCTTGCCTTTTTTTTCTTTCTTGGAAAGCGCGTGTATAAAGATATTCATATGTTTGTTTCCCATTGTTATTTTTCTGTTGAGTTCACCTGTTATGTACCACGCTCCCAAGATCTTGAAGAAAGAACACCGTATCTATAAACAACTAATATAATATAATAAAAATACACCTTTACAGGGAAAATCTGTACTGCCACGATGCCTCACCACAAAGTTAAATGAACGTGATACCCTTGCAATGATTTATCTTTTTTTTTTTTCAGTTTAAAAGCTTACTATAATGGCTTATATGCTCTATGTATAGTAAATTTTAAAATGTAACATATTGAACAAGTTATCACTTACATTCTACTGAAATCCATATGCTGCTACTATTCAAAGTTGTTTCCACTTTCTTTAAACCAAAAAGAATGCCATTTGCACAGGCTTTGTTTCAATCTTAAAATGTTTTAAAAAGCATGGTCATGATAAATATCCAAATTTTACATATAAGATGTAATATATACTATTCGAATTTGTTTTGAAATTATTTAACAAAAATCACTATTCACTTCTAACCTAAAATTTGCTATTTGCACCTGCCTACTTTATAAAACTTCGATCGCAGTCGGGCTTCATCGTGATTAACAGAGCTCTATGTAACACTAGTATAAGTGACACTGTAAGTACTGCCGCTTAGGCCTCTTACAGAAATTTTTTACACTAATTCAGCTCATTGAAGTAATTTTTTCCTTCCCCTAGACTATGCATCTTCATAATTCAATAATAATGTTAAGGTTAAATTTTCTTTTTCCGCGCTAACTATTGTCACACTTCTTTTTTGTCGCAAACAAGCAGCGACTGGAACCCACCATCTTGTCTCTGTTGCTGTAATAAAAAACTGTGCCAGTTTCGAAGTTGTAAATATTTATATATCATTGGGTCACTTCTCTCTGTAAAGCCTTTGGGCCCGGAAATTGTGCAGTTAAATAACAAAACAAATAAATAACATTTTGACATCACCCCTCTTCTGACGTAGTGCTCGTATAGAGCATGTTCCAATGCAGTTTCAAGCAGTGTCATGGCTCCCTGGTAGAATACTTGACTGCCAGTAGAGCATTTATTTATTTATTTCGATTACCCTCAGGGCACATAAAGGCATTACAGAGGGGGTGGGCAATACAACAAAAATGCATTAAAAGTTGAACATAAAAATACAAGTCAGTGAGAATACATGTTTAACAACAAAAAGTTATTCAAGGTGCATAACATAATCTGTCAGTGCAGTTTTGAATGATGATGCGTCTTCAATGCAGGAGGTGGAGGAGGGAAGGCTGTTCCACTCGGCACTGGTTTTGGGCAGAAAAGAGTCGGAAAAAACATTAGTGCGACAGAGAGGAGTGAAAACTTTATGCTCATGATCAAGACGTGACGATATGTATGACGATTGTGATATGAGCTCCTGTGTAATTGAATTGTTGAAGTGAAGAATTTTTGGAATTTTTCTTCTAAGCTGTAAATCAAGTAGTCCGAGATCTGATTTCATTAATGAAACGCTAGCTGCGTGGGAATAGTTTGACAAGCTTATCAATTTTGAATGGACTCAATAATGTATGTATGTTCTAATGTACATTCAAGCATTGGCATGGCTCTCTAGGGGAATACTTGACTGCTGCTCAGAAACATGCTTTCCAATTACACTTTCACTTGCTAGCAAATCGGGATGCCAGTGGGGGTAGTTGGCACGTCTTCGTCTTGTAATATGCTGCCAGTTATTGCAAGGGCCAAAGAAAAACAAAAGACAGCACAGAGTGATGCGCAGTCGTTGAGAATGTAATTGATAACCCTAGTAGCATGCTAATAGCTAATAATAACTACACTCAAACTTCAATATAGCAAACACTGATATAACAAAATATTGATTATAACGAAGCAAGTGAAAAATAATCCTGCAAAAATAGACATTGTTAAAAATAACCTTTATATAACGAATTTTCTTATATAACAAACTCATTTTTTTGCAAGATGCAACTTTGTTATAATGAGGCTTGAGTGTAATAAATCCCTGCTTGAACCCTGATTTTTTCGCCTGATCTTTATAAAATCACCTAAGTTTTTGTGCCCCTCGCCTCGTTTCCCAAGGTCTGACGAGGTAGGTAAGGCTTTCGCCACAATAAAACAATAAACAAATGTGATGCGGCTGCCAGTTCTCCATAGTGACAGAAAAAATGCGGCATCATCTTCTTTCAGGTCTCGATCCAATGATTGAGTCGTCGTTAATTTTTTTCGCAAATCTTGTCCCAGGTCGAATGCCTGGAAGTGCTGACGCAGGAAACGAAGCGCCCCGTACTGTGCCTGGCCGAACCCGGCAGTGGCAAGACGCTGGCCTACCTGCTGCCCCTGCTTCAAGGGATGCTGCAGCAGCTTCAGCAGCGGCAGCCGCAGGCCCTGGTTGTGGCTCCCAGCCGGGAGCTGGCCGCGCAGTTGGCCGCTGTGGCACACGCTCTGACCAACGCCTACAACCTCAAAGCGTGCCTTCTGTCAAGCCACGTACAGACCGCTCACGTAGAACAAGCACAGCTTCTGGTAGGTGTGCTTGGGAGTAGGAAGTGGAGGTTTGAGTTTCTTTATACTTAGTTACGACTGCGAAAATTACGCGAGCCCCGTCCAACAAATAGCTGCACCTGCCATTTTGCCTGCGAAATTGAAATTAATTGAAGTTTATTGTTTTGAAAAATCTTGCGGGAGCAGAGGCTAAAGGCTGTGCAGCTTGACAGAGAGGCATCTGCTCCTAATTACAGTTTGGCACATAGGCTGCTGAACTCAAAATATCATGCTAGTATATTTATTTATTTATTTACAGATTACCTACATCGCCATATAGGCATTACTTACATTACTTGCGGGGGGGGGGGACAAAAACATAACCAGTGCAAGGGAATGCGTAGCAGGGATATATACACGCATATACAAAAGTCACCATAACATTAGTAGGGATCAACAAACACATTCTCAATACACGTTGTACGGACATAATGCAGGAAAAATTTCAAAACATAGTTGTTAAGCTGTTCTGCTCTCTTATTGTTTAAGAAAAGAACAAGTAGAAAAAAAAGTATTAGTTCAACATTTGTATGTACAGATATTTTTGCTGTTATCACAGCAAGTGGATGTGTAGTGTTATTCAGCAAGGTAGCTATTGTGATTGATACACGAGTTAGAGCGATACATCTGGTGGAACAGTTTAAGTCGTAGTTTCCGCCGACATATGCGTAGCCGATCCAATCTCAAAGTGGCCTTCACTTGTGCAACACTGGCGTTGGGGCCATAATTATTTAAAACGAACCCTGCTGCTTGGTTCTGAAGTTGTCCAATTTTATTTATACGATAGTTCTGGTGGATGTCCTATATTATGCAAGCATAAAAAAGCATAGACATGACCTGAAAAAAATAGTTTCCTTGGAATTTTGCGTGGCCTGTTTGAAATTCTCACGAATGAAGTAAAATATCCTACTAGCTTTGGTTATGGCAGTGTCAGTGTGTTTGTTTTATGTAAACGGTTTGTTAAAATGAACGTCGAGGTGCCTATAATCGCGGTGTGTGTTGATAAGTACGCTGTGTATATTATATTGATCACATGATTTTGATATTTTCTTTGAGAAGCTGGGCGCCTATGCTATGCACTTTCTCAAGTTTCACAGCTATGGAGTTGCATTTAGTGCAAGATTTAGAACTACACCAATCGCTCCTGAAGATTTTGTGTGTGTGTGTCTGTTTCTGTGTAAATGTATTGTGCGTAACAACACTTATATTTTTTTTCCTTTTGCGTTATAGTGACTATACACTTAGCTCAAGGATCTATCAGTCAAACCTTTATTCGCAATCACGTTTGTATACACATGGAGGTACATAGTATACAGAAGGAGGCCTCATAGCACATGGCTGAATGTAGACATCCTTTTAGTAAATTACATCTCGATAAGTGGGAAAAAATGGCAACAAAAGGCATTTAGTAATTAGTTATAACTTTGGAAACAATAACAAATGTACAAATAATAAATATCGTGATGCTTCAATTGATAACAAGACTTTTTAGTAGGCCCTGAAATCATGGTCGTCGGCAGGATTTATTCGTGGGAAGTGCAAGCCACTGTTGTATTGCGACAGGGGGGAGGGGGTAGGGAAAAGCACTACACGCATACCTCAATATATCGAACCCGGATATAACGAAATATCGGTTATAACGAAGTAAACTAAAAATAGCCTTGAAATAGATATACTATTAAGAATGAACCCTTATACGAATAATCGGATATAATGAACGTATCTCCTTGTAAGGTGCAACTTTGTTATAATGAGGCTTGAGTGTATTGTAGGTTTGGTAAGGGCAAGTGCTGGTGAGGCCGTAGGGGGGCTTCTTCTGCATCCTTCCTGCCCATGCCTGAAACACATTGAAGTGACCACACCCAAATCACAGATCACAGTCCAGCCGAGTCCCCACAACCGAAGAGCTACGCCACATGGTGTTTAACATAGTTTTCTTTCCTTACCACTCTTTACTATTGCGTTGTATTGCTCATGTATGATTTTATAGGAGGTCTCACTCACAGTCTCGCGACTTTGAGACCTCCTTCTGTATTTGTACATAACACATGCACTTTCAATTCTGGATAAAAAAAAAGAACCTTAAAAAAAAACAAGGACAAACATGTGCCCAATAAACGCCTTTAATATCAAAATAAAATGCCCAGAGACAGCGTGAAAAACAATAAAAAAATTATAGAAATGCAGTACTGCTTACGAGCGGGGAAGACAATAAACAAGCACTCTTTTAAATGCTCCTGGTGGCAATGCTTTAGTGATTAAATGGACACAAAAACTGTGGCCTCGCATCTTTTTTTTAATGTAATGTGTTGCTGGGGGTTTGTTAGTCATAACACGACACATCATTTGCTGCAGCATGCGAAAGATAATACATTACAGGCCCCTCATAATCGACCACTTTCGGTTTGAGAGAGCTCCAAAAACGACGAGCCACCGGGTGCAGCTATTGCCACCTAGCGCGTGCACCTCTCGACCACAGCGGCAAACAGAACTGGGACGCATTTCGACATGGTCCACATCGAGAATTCCTTTCGAATGGGGAATGGGACTGCAGTGTCGTCAAACAAAATTTTTAACGAGGAGGAGCGGCAAGGCATTCACGACCAGCCGCCGGGAAGTATGAACTGCGGGAACCAACAGGACAAAAGAAGAATGGCAGCTATGACGTCATTATAGCTTGTTTTAGTGACTCCAGCGTTGTGACGTTTGGGAAGTAGGGGGGCTCCCAATGGATCCCTTTAGATAGTATCAGTATCTTCAATATTCGAAGTTCAGTATTGCAATAAAATACCTTCCAAACAATATTCGCTCTTGATATTTTGTAGATGACATACGCATGTTCACAGGAATGGATCTCGCAGGCTATCTCGGCCGCGAAATTTTGTGCCAGTACCCTTTTCATGCTACTGCGTTCTTACATAAGTTTTGTCTGTATGGACAGGCAGACAATTGTGCCAGTGCGTTTCGCAAAGCCTCTGATGTCTGTGGCAACGGCTCAAAAAACAATTTACGCAGGTTTCCACTCCAGGTGTGCTCCGGCATACGGACCTGCGGCGTGTCACGCGGCTGGTGCTGGACGAGGTGGACACTTTGCTCGACGGCAGCTTCCTCGAATCCATCACCGGCATTGTGGATGAGGTACAGGGCTTCTTAAAACCCGTCATAGTACTCTTATACCTCATTATAACAAAGTTATAACACGAAAATAAGTTTGCTATAGCAAAAAATTCATTATTAATGTATACTCCGAACTATATTTCTATTGCTAGACTATTTTTCATATACTTCCGTATAACCAATATTTTGTTATATCCAAGTGTTATAACTATGTAGTCATTCGGGCACACCAGCTGACTACACTCGTGCTGACAATGCATTGGAAATTATGTATAGGGTGTGCCCCATCTTGCACAAAAATTTTAATAGGCATTTACGATTATTCAAGCGTCTCAATTATTCAGATGAATGTATCAATGTAACGGTATTTGAATTGGCTTTGACATAAATTTAGAACTTTAGAAATCTTGATGTATTCAAAGGAAATAAATAGGTGTGTGAAGTACCACATGCAAGTTTTCTGGAAAGATAACTTCACTGCATTAAGAGGGCGTTGTGCCGTAAGATTTTCCTAGTGAAAAACTGCACTGCTGCTAACCAATGCTAGAAGTTTAAATGCCGATATTACCTTCAGGTGGGTTATTATTTATATTATTATTATTATTATTATTTTATGTTTAGAAGCTTGTTATATAGGTTTATATATACAAAAGTATCAAATTTCAAAACGCAATGTATTTTATTACTTATAGCTTGCACCCTGTTACTTTTCAGAGTTGCTTACGAAAAAAAAATGACATTCGGAGAAACCTGGCTCTAATTCGTGAAAGCATTTGAAAGTTGCTAGGGCCATGTCAAAAATGCTCATTTTATTTTTTAAACATGTAATAATCACATGTACTCTTTGAGCTGTGTGATTAGAAATTATTCGACCGTATCACTGTTGACTTCGGGTCTTGAATTTACTGTTTGCCCATCCCTAGATTTCAACCCTGTCGAGGTCAGCGACGTCTTTGTATGTCCTCGGCGAACGCCTTCAAGATGGTTGATGATGGACACGTACCATGTTTACATGATTGTAAGCCGTCATAAATGTAGATCGACCGCCTAAAATCACATGGCGAAAAAAAATAGAGGGGAAGGTGTGTGGAGATTGAGCATTTTTCAAAACACAAAGAACTATTTAAAATTTCTGTGGAGAAAACAGAATTGGAGTCCGGTGTGCTACGGTGGCTTTACATTTGTGCGTGAAAGCTGTGCAGGAAAGCTAGGTTCATAGAAATACGCGGGGGTAATTTTCAGAAAAATGTTACAACCGAAACTAGTTTCGATTCTAGGTCATCATTGCCTGTATGTTAAGAATGGGAACCTTTTTCGATTATTCCTCTTACTTGCCATGTGCTGCTATAATGCGGAAATAAGTACAGTAGACTCTCGATAATTCAAAGTCGCTAAATTGGAATTTTCGGTTAATCATTAGTAAAGAGGTGGTCCCATCAGTTTTGTATGCAACACCATAGAAAAAAATACTCGATAATTTGAAGTTGAAAGCCCACAATATCGGTTAATTAGAATTGATTTCTTAACCTGGAGCCTCAAGGCAACCGTTATTTTCAATAAAATGCACAATTTTTCAAGTGCCAGAACAGCTACCGCACTGCCGTCGTCACCATCGTAGCTGTCCGCAGCGCACTGTTGTCGCCATCGCCGTTGTGCGCAGCGCCACAGTGCATGAAGCGGCAAGGTTTTTTAGTCTGCGCCGCCATGTCGAACGTCGAACTATCCGTTCCACTGTTCCAGTCTTTTTCTCTCGAGTCTCGTCTCTCCTTGTGTTTCGTTGACAGTGTCAGCTGTGCATCGCAGGTAGTTTCCCCGTGTTCGGCTGGTCGCGTCATTGGATAACGACAAAACGTGACGTGTACCGAACACTTGATCTGGCGACGAAAGTCGAAGTTCTGAAAGAAGTGGAGCAGGGAGGCCTTGCCAAGCAAGACATTGCACGGAAGTACGGCTTTAAGCCTAACACGCTCTCAAATTTCATTAAAAGTAAGCATTCGATAATGGATGTTTTTGCAAATGACAGGTTTAAGATGTCATGGAAGCGAATGCGCGCTGGCACTTACCCGGATAAGTCCTCGCTATACGAGGTGAGTTTAATTAGTGCCATCCACATGCTAGCTCGAGAGGGGGGCCGCGTGAAAAATGAGACCATCACCAACTGCTTCTGGGCCTTTGGTTTTGTGGCAAATTCTTCAGGAGAGGCTTCTCCTTGTCCACTGGCGGAAATGCGAAGCGAGCTCGACGACAGTAGTTTTGACACCGCTCTTGGTGACTCCTGCTTTGAAGATTACGTCGCAGTGAACAGCACAATCAAAACGTGCGGTGCACTGACGGACAGCGAGATTGTGCAGATTGTTCAGCCCCACCAAAGCGTTCATCAAAGCGACAACGAAGGCGACATTGAAAGCGAGCCACAACCGAAGGCTGCCAATGTAGCTGCGGCCTTGCTCTTGTGTAACTTTTTTTTTTTTTGCTTGGGAAAACAACGCTGAAGAAGCACTTGGGCACTCTCCTTTTTGCAAAACTTGCTTTTCGCTGCTAGATTCGGCAAACAGAAGCAGATGAAGATGATCGACTACTTTTCGTAAAGAACTTCCGGCCGTGAACCTAATAAAGGTGCCATTTTTGCTGATTTCTGCTCAATTGTAAGTTCGTGTAATTCGAAGTTTTTTGCAGTTCCCGTGAACTTCGTATTATGGGAGTCGCCTGTAGTACCGTAATTACTCTAATCTAACGCGCACTTTTTTTTTCGGTTAAGCGAGTTCATAAATCGCATGCGCGTTAGAATCGAGTACGAAAAAAAAAATTCTTATGGTCATTCTATTGCCATCGACATTTCAAAAATGGCCGCCCCCTATGTACGTCGGCCATTTCTGCCAATGTGTTTCCCATGTGTGGCACTTCATACGTGTGCTGAGGAGTTCGTCATCTTGTAGTGCATTAACATCGGCGGCATAGAAGGGCCGACTCCAAAGATTCGACGAGTGCACCCTGATGCCGCTTTTAAAAGAAAAGTCATCGCGTGTGCAGAAACGGACGGAAACGGAAATCGGGCCGCATCGCGGTCGTTCGGAGTCCCTGAAACGTGCGTGCGGGACTCGCAGAAACAAAAGCAGAAGATTGTCGACTGCAAAGCTTCACCTAAAGGCTTCAGTGGACCGCAGCAAGGTCGGTTTCTGCAAATTGAAGAGCTGCTCGCCGAGTATGTGCTTGAACAGCGAGCGGCACAGCGGCCCGTGACGACAGAACTGCACCAAGTACGGGCTATGCAGTTAGCTTGGAAAAAGGCTAACGTGGAGCCAGTTCAAAATGAGCAGGTGCTGGCTAACTAACTTTATAAAGAGGAAAGGATTTTCCCTCCGAAGGCGAACGGGCATATGCCAAAAGTTGCCAGAGCAGTACGAAGAAAAACTTCATAGTTTTCAGAGGGTCGTCCTTAACTTGCGGCACAACAACGGCTAGCTGCTTGGGCAAACTGGGAATGCCGATCAGATGCCTCTTTACTTCGACATGCCTGGCACCACAACGGTCGAGAAGAAGGGGGCGAAACAAGTTCGCATGCTGACATCGGGCCACGAAAAAACTAGAGTGACGGCAATGCTCTGTTGCACGTCAGATGGGCACAAGCTTCCCCCGTACCTGATATTTAAACGGAAAACGCTCCCGAAAGGAGTAGTTTTCCCGAGTGGTGTGATCGTGCGAGCCAACGAGAAAGGTTGGATGATGACGGACCTGGTCGCCGATTGGATTTATCACGTCTGACGGAAGCGGCCTGGCGCTGTTTGGGGCCTGCGAGCAATGCTCGTGCTCGACGCGCTCAGGTGCCATCTCGACCAGCGGATCAAGGACAAGCTCGCTGCGTGCAATACGGACCTTGTAGTCATACCTGGCGGCATGACGTCACAACTTCAACCGCTGGATGTCTGCCTGAACAAGCCGGTGAAGGTCAAGATTCGGGCGCCTTACACCGACTAGCTGATCAATGGACGACATGATTTCACACCAGGCAACAGGATGAAGCGTGCCTCTCTGCAAGACTTCGCTGCATGGGTGAAGGACGGGTGGTGTGCAATACCATCAGCCATGGTCATCAAGGCATTCAAGAAATGTGGCATCTCGAATGCCATGGACGGTACCGAGGATGAGATGCTTTGGGCTGTCGACAGCAATAAGGAGTTGTCCGACAGCGACTGACCTATTACGTGACTCGTAACGCCGCCGTAGTGGTCACAGTTTTAGCTGCAGGGCCGGCTGTTTGACTTTGTGTTTTGTCTTTCGAAACTTCAGTGCATCAAAACCCATATACTTGTTCTCAATGTGCAAAAGTTGACTCATACGAACTTTTTTTTTCTCTTCCGTCACGGAAAATTGGTGCGCGTTACAATCGAGGGCGTGGTATAATCGAGTAAATACGGTATATCTTTCTTGCAATGATGTCTGTCAGTTTTTTATGCTTAGTTTCATTTTCATCGATCGGGTCATTTCCGCTTCTTGTATTCACGAAACTGACGGCTGTTGGGTTCAGAGTTTCTGAAAGGATGACCATTTTGTCATGCTAGCTTATTGCTTCTCTGGTACACGATTACACTCATTTCCATGTAGGTGAAGACTGATGCAAACGATGCTGTTGGTAGCGTTTCCTGTTTTGGGGACTCAGAGAAACTGCTTCCGTCTCCGTGCTGATAAGATGAAGGGCTATCGTAGGTGTCCGACTCATTTTTACTTTCTGTATGCGCACACGATCGTGCAGTTTTTTTTTTTTCGGTGTACTCACCCACACACTTTGCGTGTGCTGTGAAAGTGTGGACCGGTTTCTCCGCAGGAAGAGAGTCTAGCGGCGATTCCTTCAATTTGCCTCCTGACTGCCAAATCAGAATCTAATTCACTGTATGTCAAATCATCATACGAAGTGTTCAGATTCAAATGTTGATGAGCGAGTGACATTCTCAAAAGCGTGTGTGGTGAGATGATGCTAACTTGATCAGAGGTGAATTTTTTTCCTCAGTGTTTCCACTGGACACCACTTTGTGCGATTGCTTTTGTACGTCTGTAAACTACACAGATGTTAATTGCAATGTATAATTTTTTTTAACAGTCATATAAGCATTTTTTGAGAATTTATGTTGGTGCTTCTCATGAATATGTGTATGTAGCAACACATTTTTTAAAATTTTATGTTCACCCTAAAAAAGTTACAATATTTATCTGAAATAGACTCACCCAAAAAATTTAAATGAATAGTAAAAAAATTGACCCTTGAGAGTCACATTTGGTGAAAAAATTCAACCCTCAAAGTGTTATGAATGAGAAATAATGTTGCGCACTAACTACATTGTACCGAGGCATTGGCCAGAAACACGAACATTAGGGCATTTGTGTTTCCTATTGTTCTGCATTTAATTTCAAGCAATTAATTATAGCCAGGATGGTAACACAAATTCTAACTAGTGTCGTCCACGATACAATCAAGGGCCAATACAGTCAATCAAAGTTCGATACAATCAAACTCTAGCATCGTTTTACTGCCACTAGGTCATTTCGGGATGAAAATGACGCACCGCAGTGTTCGTGTTTTTATTCCATGCTCCCCTCTGTACGTGTTAGTCCGGTTATGGTGGAGCGTACACCAGAAATGCCTGAGTTAGTGACTTCAATTTGCTTCTTGCAATTCATTATCTAGTTGTCCTAATTATCAAAGGGTCAGTAAGTCATTTGTAGGCATTTCTAAGGGACGTCAAGCTGCAGTATTCTTGCCACCGACTATGCACTAGTTTGTGTTAGTAAGTACAGATCATTGAAATACGAAAAATGTGTGATTAGGGGCACCCCTAGGCGTATTTCTTGGGCAGTGGCGAGTGGGGGACTTCGACTCTATTTTATGTGTGTTTGTGCAGGTATGTGTGCATGTTAACATAGATGCATACAAAATGTAAAGATTTTTGTGGAGGGTAGATGTGTCAGAACTTTCCAAACCAGCCGCCCTGCTACTCCAATCAAAGTGAATGTTTTTCCCTTATTTTTTTACTTCTTTAACAGATGGTACGTCCAGACACACAGCTGGTACTGGTGGGCGCGGCACGACCCGAGCATGACGCCCTGTCACATCTGCTGGGTGACCAGGAGGCGGACCTGTTGCGCATCACCAGCCCGCAGCTCCACCGGCTGCTGCCCCACGTGGAGCACCGATTCCTCCGCGTGCGGCCTGCGGCCAAGATGGCCAAGCTGATGGAACTGCTGCGGAGTAGGGGCCAGGCGCAGTTGGTGTTTGCCAACACGAGCGCCTGCTGCAAGTGGCTGGGCCACCTGCTCCGCGAGAACGGCATGGAGGCCGCCTGCCTCCATGGGGAAATGCCTGCGCAGGTGCGGTTGAAGAACCAAACTTAAGCGAAGCTTGTATCATCTCAGAAGTGGCATTGGCTTTGTAAACAGCCAAATGAATCTGACTAGCAGTTAGTTAAGCCAGGGAAATGGTGAAAGACGTCTGTTGTTATTTTTATGAATTGTATGTAAATTGAAATGCATTGAAGCGGATGAAAAATTACCTGTTTTGTCAGTGAGATCTGAGCCCACAACCTGCAGGTCAAGATCTGACAATCTAAATTGCTGGCCATGTAGGCAGGGGTTTGATCCCATCTAGATGATTTCTTGGGCACATACGAGTGGAAGTGCACTCAAACCTCGATATAACGAACCCGTATGTAACGAAAGATTGGTTAAATCGAAGTAAATGAAGAATAGTCTGGCAATAAATGCAGTGTTAAGAAAACATCTTTATAACAGTTTTTTTAATATAACGAAGTTAATTTCGTATAAGGTGCAAGTTGATTATGATGAAATTTCACTGTGAATGTTTGCCTAACAGAATCGCAGTTGAACTTTGCAGACTCTTTTCCTTGTTGAATGAGATTCACGCTTGATATCTCGTTTCAGGAACGACGACAACAATATGCACGCTTTGCCAAGGGCGAGACGGACTTCTTGGTGTGCACCGATCTGGGATCACGGGGCCTAGACACGTCACGTGCCAGCCGCGTGATTAACTTTGACCTGCCTGCAGACGTGGCCGACTACCTGCACCGAGCGGGCCGCGTGGGTCGCCTGCAGGGAAGCCCGCATGCCACAGTCATCAGTCTCGTGGCGTCTGTGGCCGACGTGCATTTGGCGCAGAGTATTGAGGTCAGAGTCGGCCTCTGTTCTCACTTTAAGACAAAGGTTAAGCTTGGGACCTCTGGTTTTAAACCATTTCTCACAGAGTTTCTTGCAGGCAAAAGGAAAATTGTAAACCTGTCTAGAACTCTTGGAAGTAGATTTTCTATAAACGCTACCTTAATAAGTTTCTGAAGGTTGAAAAACTAATTGAGTCTTGGAGTATCAAGTTCACAACTCAGTAAATCAGTGATGCAGAAAGCTTTATCGCAAGTTAGTGAACTTGACCTGATAGATGACCTGCCTTTGCTTCTTGTGAGTGGCTTGCACTACAGTCCACACTGAGCATCAAAAGACTGCATGTTGCAACACTTCAATTTGTGTGTGTGTGTGTGCGTACGTGCAAGCATGCGTGCGTGCATGTGTGTGTGTGTGTGTGTGAAATTTCATGTACTTTCCTGCTGTGCATATTTTTGTATTCCTTTGTCTACTTACTGTAAAGCACTGTTATTAATAATAGCATAATAGCTGTCGGGGTTTTATGTCCCAAAAGCACGATAAGAAATTTCGGGGTAGAGGGCTCTAGAAATTTTGACCACCTGGAGTTGCTGCTGTAACTTGCACCTAAATCTAAGTGCACGGACCTCTCTAGTCTTCGCCTGTGTTGAAATGCAGCCACTGTGGCCAGGATTCATGTCCTGCAACTGTTTTGGTCAGCAGTCGAGGACGATCTGTTATTGCTGATTTTTCTGTTTGGAACGTAGCACTCTAAGAATTAAAGAGCGGCGCAGACATCCGTGTCACGCCCCTCGATTGTTGGGTACATGCAGCAGCAGCTTTGTGTGCACGACCTTTTTTGTTGTGGCTTGAACATTCCCGACTCCAGTAACTGGCCTTATAAACGGTTTATACGGTAATTTGTATTTTATAAATAACTCAAACCTCGATATAATGAACGCAGATATAATGAAATATCAGTTATAATGACGTAATGAAATATAGTCTTTTAATAGATATCGTGTAAGGAATAAACCTTTATAACGAATTTTTAGATATAACAAACTTTATTTTTGTGTAGGATGCAACTTTGTTATAATGAAGTTTGAGTGTAATGCGTTCGTAACACCCTCTGTTGTGTGTTGTTCATGCAGATAGCTGCCCGTGAGGCAAGGCCCATCAATGATAGGTGATGGCCCAAGAAGCATTTCCTGTACAAGCAAGGTGGACAGATGAAGAAGAGAGCCAACAGGACGTGAAAGTCTCGTCTCCGTAGCCAACGAGTATTGAAAATGGCCCCATTGCAGTAGCCAGTAGGATTCTAAAAGTGCGGAGTTGCCAGGGACAGCCACTCTGCCTTAAACCGCTGGAAGTGTGTTCTCCAACTGTATTACACCCTGGATTTGTTCAATGTAGACACTGAAAATATTATGCGCCGAATTTATGCCTCTCGATGTGGTACGTTATTTTTTCTTCTGGCTGCCAGTTTCATCACACTAAATTAATTCAAACACCCAATTATTTATTTCGAATGTGTTTCACGTTTCTTTCAAATAGCCCGGACATTACTCTATGAACTGGTTGGTTGAACACAGGTGCCGAAGAAATTACTGTATTTACACGATTTTAGCACATTCTTCATTGTTTTGTCTTGTAGCGATTTACTGAAATATGGCACTGATCAGGACTGAGTTTGAAATCGAAACTGAAACTAGTTGCGTCCAAATCTTGCCCCTTCGATTTCGTATCCTGTCTCCCAGACTTGCTCTGATGGCGTTACCGGAAGTTCGTCGGAGATCTTAAGCATGCCCAGTGTTCTGCTTAATATACTGTGAAAATTAGGTCACTTGTAAATACAGATGTGTCATTCATGCTGTCTCACTGTACTATGTCTTTTTTATTGTAAATATTCTCCGCAGCCAAGCTTTACGGGACTCGCGATGCGAGGTGGCAAAGACCAACAATAAAACACAAATGGATAGCTTTGGAGTGTTTGCTTCAGCTGTTTGCCTTGTGTATAGAGTTTGGTTTTATGTGGTGCTCTTACCTCGAGGCTGCATTGTGTGTCTCATGATGACCGTCATATCACCACCATCTGGGCACCTGTACCATACCACGGAATATTTCATGATATGTCAGGGCCCCCCGACATGGGCAGTGCCAGCGATTCAAGATGCGAAGATGTGGAGCAATCAGAATATTATTCTGTGCTACGATAGAGCCCCGCTTGTTGTTCTGCAAGCTTGGTCATTGTATTCAACAGCAAAGCAGTCGACAATTTCTAATAGCGAAGCTGTTAAGCAAATTATTCATTCCTTGTCCACACCTTGCCCATAAACTATCACCATCGTGAAGGGCATAGTGCTTCCCATAAAAACACCTACGGGAAAATCTGGTGTCATTGTTTATGCGAATTTCTTAAGGGGCCTCGTTGGAGTGCTGGGGATGACGGTAGATGTGTCTGCGAGGGTTGTGTTGGCTGGTGTCGAGCGAAACTTCAGCTCAAAAGCCACTGCGCAAATAAAGCTTCTCTGAAACAAAACTTTTATAAACAGATCTCATTCACGCATATCATATTTAAAATAAAAGCCCACTCACCTTGACGGCACAACCAAATGGCAAAAAAAACAAAAAAATCAGAGACATAAATGGCAGAGGGAACACTGGCTTTCTCATCTGCCTGCCAAGTTTACTGGCCACTGGTTAATTTTTACGCTTCGTAAAATTGTACATCGACGCAGAAGTTCTGAGTGTTAAATGACACACATTTCTGTGCAATGGCAAAACATAGATAGCTTATTACGTACTCTTTTCATAAGAAATCAACCATTTAACGTGAAGCCAGACGCATCCTCGAGGTACACAGATCCGATTCAAGTTCGAAGCTCACGTATCCCAGCATTCCCTTGCACCCAGCAGCTCACTAGCACCAGATTTCCCTTTAGGTCATTTTGTGAGAAACTGTGTGATAAAGGTTGGGTAAATCCCACTGCTCAGCACTGGTCCACGAAAACTGCAAAAGCAACAGTTAGCCAAACAAACAGGTATGTGCCACAAAAGTTCGGTGAATCTCACTGCACACAACTTGCACTAAAAAGAAAGAAAGCAACAGTTAAATTCATGTACCAATTCTTGGCCAATCCCCCAGAGTGGGTGTAAGCCATGACTGAGGCATCATCATCATCATCACCCAACAAATGGCTGCGAAGTGGCAACGGCAAGCAGAAAACACCCAGAGTGCGTACAATCAAGAAATAGTAGTGAACAGGAGAGGCAACGGCTGCTGTGAGAAGACTCCAAAATGATGGAAGGCCTACACACACACACACACACGACTCTCTGCGCTGAGAATCGAAATGTGCCCCACCGCGGTAGTCTAGTGACTAAAGTACTCGGCCGCAGGTCGCGGGATCGAATCCCGGCTGCGGCGGCTGCATTTCCAACGGAGGCAGAAATGTTGTAGGCCCGTGTGCTCAGATTTGGGTGCACGTTAAAGAACCCCAGGTGGTTGAAATTTCTAGAGCCCTCCACTACAGTGTCTCTTGTAATCATATGGTAGTTTTGGGACGTTAAACCCCACAAATCAATCAATCAATAGAATGGAAACGTGGAAACAACCTAGCATCACCTTGCTACACCCTATAGCTAGCAACGTTACTAGATACGTTGATAGCTAGCACCTAAAATAAACAGAGAAACAAGCTGCACTACCGATCTAAAGCCTAGGAACAACTTCGAAGCAACCAGGTGTCAGTCTTCAGAATTGTCCAGTTTCGCCGTTTCAAGCTTGCGTAGCGTAGTGCATGCTTCGCCCAATTTTTGTTTTCAGTGTTGCGTCAAAAAGCACGTCTCTGTAGGAATTCCGAACTCTTGCTGCACTCAACTTTGAGACTCAGGCAGTATACTTCATACTTAGGCAGCTGCGTATACTTAGGCAGCTGCGGACTGCACTAACAAAGAACGTCTTGTAGCTTTTCTGATCTATATATTTGAACCGGTATTTAGTCATCCTAATGTCACTTAAAAGGAATGAGTTAGCGAAATCATGTGGTCTTCTGAAAGCACCTTTAGTATTTATTTAGTAGTCTACCCAGAGAACACTCATGCAAGGTAAGCAGATAAGGTGTAAGGTAGGCAGATCTGGAGAACCAACGAGTTTTAATTGTACAAGAGATTAACTGGAAGGCTGTTGGGAAAAACTAGGGTTTAGCGTAATGGCATGGCAGAGACATGCGCTGGACAACCTTGATGATTATGAGGCCCAAAGCAAACCCTTCGAAAAATGACCGTGGAATACGAAAAAAAAAAAAAGCGGGGGGGGGGGGAGGAGAACGGGGGAGTAGGAGTGACTGGTTTTCAAGTGCATAAATAGAAGAAATGTCATAACCGCGTGCGGCTTGCCATCTCTCACTGAACTTTAGAGTGCCCGTCGGGAGTAGAAGAGACGATTACAGCGTACGACGTGTCTCTAAGAATTTTAGCGGTGGTCGGTTCGTGAGGCAATCAGCTCATTTAATGGAGCCATTTGATGGTTACTTAAGAAAGTGTTGCAGGTCTCCTTTAAAGACTAGCGCCGGCCCGGTGATATATTTTGTTTCGGGAACCGGTCCTGTATTGGGCGCGCACTTGACAAGACCCGATCAAGAAAGCAAACTGGCTCTTACAATATGCCAAGAATGTTTTTTTTTTTTCATGTTATATAGTAGAGTGGCCTGTACTGCACAGTACTTTTTAATCATACTGCGCGTTTGCTTACGAAATCTGGCAAGCAACTGAACCGAAACCAGAAACTGCACGTAGAACGCAGTCTTTAAAAAAAAGAAAAGAATCATCAATATTTTTTGGAACATCACAGTTCAAAATTATCGGCGTGAAATGCTACGTACACCATGTTCTACCACACGCACTCGTGTAATGTATTAAATACTAAACTATTTGTGTCGAGGCCAGCGCAGCTGCAGTAGTGCGGTCCTCCTCTGGTTGCAGCTGTGGCAGCTGCGCACCGTATTTAGAAGTGTCGGTCGCCGTATTAATCGAGTGTTCTTCGCACCTCTCAGATTACCTGTCGATCGGACATCCACTCGCGCCGCTAGAGAGTGACCTAGTTATCGACGTCTTGCAGCGCAAGCAGAGATATAGCGCAGCTAGCGCGGGGCGTCAGCTGCGCAGCAGTGGCTGCAGCCCCCCGTTGTATGCAGATGACAGCGGCCAAGGTATCGTCGGTGCATTCTCTGCCGTTGTATCCAGAACCACGCTTGGTGACATTCGAACCGGTACGCTATGAGCTGGGCGTGGCGCGTTGCGCGGAGTCGTGACGCATTTGGGCAAGTAATCTTTTCTCCACACCGCAGGCGATGCCAATGGATCACCCCCTCGAAAAGCTGCAGCCGGGCACGATCATCGAGCTGTCGGGCCATGTACTTGGCAGTCCCAAGAGGTAATCGTCTCGCGTTGACAATCGGCGAGTTGAGTCGAGCGATCGTAATTGCGCGGTCACGACGTCTGTGTGCTTCAGGTTCAGCATCAACCTCGTCACAGCCGGCGGCGACATCGCGCTGCACGTGAATCCGCGCTTCGATGTCGGCAACACGGTATTCAACACGTTCCGCAGCGACGACTGGGAGCAGGAGGAGGTCGTCCAGCGCCTACCCGTGCAGCAGGGGCACAACTTCGACTTCATGATACTGGTCGAAGAGATGGGCTACAAGGTGCGTATCTTTAGAGGTGTGGAAGTTGGCGGGTTAAACGATATGCTTTCGCAGTGAGTCACGCTAACTTTCCATTGAAATTCGTTGTAATGTTGACTACTCTTATTGGTGATGCTAAAGTGAATGTAAAGTGAATGTGAGTGTAGACAGGAGCGTTCAACACGCTCCTGTCTACACATTGAAGTCTACGCGTTGAGGTCCCCAGTCTCGATCCTAAAAGCAGGTTGATAGTGCTTTCAGGAGATTCACCCATTATATTCACTCACACTTTCGGACCTGCTTCAGGATTCGCTGCACGCTGTAATTCGTTTTGCCAGCCGACTGTAGGTGCTAGATCAGTACTTTGGTGGAAATCGTTTCTTGTGGTGCAGGATTTGTGTAAAATGAATTTACAGCATTACTTTGTTAAGAGAGTTATATGCGCATTGTTCAAGCCCGATCATGCAAGAATCTGCATAATCTAGAGCACTTTCTCGTTCTTGCTTTCATGAGCAGCCTCTGAATGAGTGGTCACCGATTGACTAACTGCAGGCTACACCAAATGGGCATTATACTCAATTCATCAACGCTGATACATAGTTGAAGGCAGCCGTAGAAGGTAAGCTTGTCCTGTGTGCCACAGTGTCAGCCCAGAAAGGATCCACTATAGCAAATATCCCTTTCAGGCACGAATCACGATGCAGTGTCGGGAAATGCTTAAATTTCACACAACATAGTTCTAAGGCACTCTTTATCAGATTGAAAGAAAAAAATACTATTAAGATATACGTTGGTTTGGTGAGCTTTACTAATTAATATTAATTGGAAAATATTTAATTATTATGCAGCTAGTCGTGTTCCGTTTTTTACAACAAAAGAAGTTGATCTTAGCCCCAAAATGCACGCGCTGTTTGTTTCTGGCTGTGTTCATTCTGAGCAAAAAAAAATATATATAATACTTGCCAAGTTGGGCTTGGAATGCAGAACCCCGAGTTACAAATCAAATGCAGTGCCTTTATCGAAATGATTAGCTGCAATTATATGCAGGCCATTGGGGTTAAGTCAAGACGGATTGACTATTTAGAAGATTCAATTGATCGTATGCTCAATGTTTCTTGCCCTTTCTTTTCCACTTCTCCGAAGAGATGGCAAAAACAAGTATGTGGACGTTGCACCTCTTGGGGATGTGGTCTGTAGGATGAGAAGAAAGCAAAATAAAAAGAAAGAACGGCCACTCTCAGAAGCTATAAGAAGTTGAGATACTGGAAAAGCATTGCGGAATGCAGAGTGCGCGTAAGCACTGCTGGAAATGTACCACAGCAAAGAAAAAAAAAACGGCAAAAGATAAGCAGGCGGCAGAGGCGGTGACTCACGACAAGAGAAGACAAACATTTTTTGTGTGCAGGCCAGTCGAGGCAACTGGGCTGTCGGAGCTTCTGTGCTTCTTCAACTGCTATATGACATTTTGCTGGCTTCGGCCAAGGCTTCCATTGCTAAACCCGCATAAAATATTCTTTGTGATAGGGTGTTTATTTGTCCTTCATACCTCCTAGGTGCAAATGCAAACCTCATATGAGGTTTGATGTGCAGCTCCTTATGGCAACTGCAGTCTACTGCACCAGCTGTGCCAGTTCCCCAAGAGATGATCTCCTTAGTGTCCCATTTCGGAAAGCGGTTTCGGTTGACAAAATATGACCTTCCGCAAACATTACAGTAGACACACCCACGCTTGTGAGCCTTCGAAGTGGCAGTCGCTAAGTACATAATGGTGCAAATTGAAGATCAGACACATTTAGCTAGGACGTGACCTATAACTGTTTTATTTCTTATCCAAAACATTGCAATTGTATCTGTAGAAACTCATAATGATGGAATAAAAAGTAAATGATTATAAAGACTTTTGTGATAATGACAGAAGAAGCCATTACCTAGACATGCTTGATGATATCATCTAGAATAATCTGAAATATAAAAGATGTAATTTGGTGCAATGTGTGGGCAACTATGAGACAATCACTCGTTGGAGAGATACCAGCTTTTGGCAAAGGGAGGTGTCGTTTCACATAGGCCCGGACATATTGTCGGAAGAAGTCTGTTGCTTAGCTGCGTTGTGCAGTTTGCAACAGCTGGCAGACAGTGTCGTGCCTTTTCTTGTTTTTTTTTTTCTGCAGACATTGTCAAGTGTATTTCCACAATGCACTAAGAGTTGCATTGTTTGTCTCCTTGCATATTTCGCAAAAACAGTTAGCAAAGTGTACAATAGTTCTGTTCTATTAGAAGCTCATACCATATATCGCTGCAAATTGGTAGGTTGCAAATTGTACCAATTCCTGCAACCTTCCAAATAAGCAGTTGTGACATTGATGAGCCAAGTTCATGGTTGTAATTTAATTTTTAATTTTTTTTAATGCTAAACATACATGTTAGTATAAAAGTTCTGAAACACTTATGCGACAACATATTCTTTATTTTCTATGTTATATTTAAAAGTACATGTAGAGGCATTGTATAGGAGGGATAAGGCAGTAAATAGTTGAAAAATGTACAATAATTTGTAAACAAAAAGTAGGGGTATAAATATCTGCAGGAATAAGAACAATAAAAAAAAGAATGCGACAGCAACAGATGTGGGCATGTAAATTAATGTTGCATAACATGACATACAAGAAAGCAAACTGATGAGGCAAGAAAAATATATTGGATTGCAACACCTCGTTATATAATATAATCTGGCACATTAAAAGTCAAAAATAAAACAGGATGAATGGGGCAAAGTCTTTGATATAAGATTGCACATAAATGAAGAAAAATGCTATAAAAGAAAAAAAAAACAAAAACAGTGAAATATGTAGGGTGCCTAGAAATATTTGAGAAATGCTTTTAAAAAGTAAGTATATCTTTTGTATTCTGTCGTTGAAAATTTAGTTCACTGCATATACGTTTTGGCGTGCCAAATTACTTCTTCTTGTGATCAATGTTCATTGGTTGCGAGATGGTAATTTACACTGGTGATCAAAACTTCGGAGACCATCGGAGCGCGTGGCAAACAGTCCATGGCACCTTCTCACGGCTACCAGGAAAGCTCGAGAGTGCATTGCGCAGGGGCATCCTTTTGCACCTGCCAGCCTGCATTTTCGCTCCCTTCAACTGCGCGCACACCAGGACGTGAGACAAACCCAACCTGCTCCCTTCATTTCTCATCGCCATAATCACTAAAATGTCCCAGTCCCCAACTGCAACACAGTTGCATACGGCTAATCATTTATCCCGAGAAATTGTAATGAATGGAATTCTCTGCCTGCATCATTAACAAGCATCACCCTGTCTATTCAATTGAAGAATATCTTTAAAGCAATGATTGTATAATTATCCCCTTTAATTAATTTTGATTATTGCCTTCACCATCTTACAAAAACAAAAGTATTGTTCACAATTTGCATTTTTGATGTTTTATGAAATTGTTACAGCATTGATCTTTGAGCCTAGATCAGTTGCAGTATTTACATGATGTGTGCTTTGTGTTTCTTGATATTTTTATTGTTGTCATTACCCTTCAGCTCTCTGAAATGTTCTACACTCAAACCTCGATATAAAGAATCCGGATATAAAGAAATATTGGTTATAACGAAGTAAATAAAAAATAGGCTTGCAATAAATATAGTGTTAGGAATAAACTTGTATAACGGATTTTTGGATATAACCAACCTATTTTTGTGTAAGATGCAACTATGTTATAATGAGGTTCGAGTATGTACCCTGAGGGTAAAATGAATAAACAAAAACTCTTGTACACTTTTGTGGGTAATGTAAGTTGCTACTTCGACTTTAACAGAGATGTGCGTTGTTACGTGCGTGTGCTTGCAGGTGGCCTTCAATGGACTCCACTTTGCGGACTTCAAGCACCGGCTGCTCTACAGCACGGTGGAGCGGCTCAAGGTCGACGGCTGCGTCACCGTTCACCGTGTCGAACAGCGACCACCGCTGGGTGACCCGGTGCGTGCGTTTTCTTGTTGTACACCATTGCTTCTTGTGTGTGTTTCATTGTTTAAGTTCCTAGTGTACCACCTGCTCTGGTAGCTTAGCAACTACACTCAAACCTCGATATAATAAACCCGGCTATAACGAATTATTTGCTATAACAAAGTAAATGAAGAATGGCTCTGTGTATGTTTGGCTCTGTGAATGGCTCTGTGTACAAGTGTATGTTTATAACAAATCTTCTGACATAACGACACATTTTCGTGGCAGGAGTGCACTTTGTTATTATGAGGTTTGAGTGTACTGCATTACACCGCTTAGCCACGGTGGTCTAGTGGCTAAGGCACTGGGCTGCTGACCCACAGGTCGCGGGATCGCATCTTGGCCATGGCGGCCGCGTTTTCGATTGAGGCGAAAATGCTTGAGGCCCATGTACCATAAATTTGGGTGCATGTTGAAGAACCCCAGGTGCTCGAAATTTCCAGAGCCCTCCATTGCTTAATCACATAAGGTTTTTGGACACCAACCCTCAACAGTTGTTATTACTACTTTCTGGTTTGTGTGCAGGTGCCCCCCATGGAAGGCTGCCAACAGCCGGAACAGCCGCTGCCAGTAGAACCGTGCGTCGTGTACAATCCGGTAATTGATGTCTCTTGCTTTTCAACCGTGTGCTTGTCGCAGCCTTCAACACACAGCAGCTGTAGATGAGAAATCTCCTTGAAGTGACGCAGAAGGAAGACAGGTAGGTCAGGATAAGTCGTAAAGAGGTCCAGTGGAAAGTACTGGCGAGTAATCAGAGCGGGTAGCTTGCCACAGCCAGCACTGTAGTGTGATTTTGTCTGTGATGAAGCATCTCCCGAACCCTCGCGATAGGAGTGGTGTTTTCAGGTGTCAACTATCATGGGGCACATTCACTTTTGCATAACTCTAGGAACTCCGCTGCATCTGGTCGACAGCAGTTCTAGCACTGTGCTGTGGTTTCTGTCTCCGCGCTTTGCTGGGGGTTTTGTATGCCAGATAAGTCGCGGTGCTGACTCATGTGAAGGCTTTGCGAATGTTGTTGTACCTTTAAAAGTGAGCGTACTCAAGCCTCATCATGCCCGCAGGGGCGCCTGCGCAAGTAGGCGTTTGGTGTGTAGCGACACCACGGACCCGAGCTAACGGGGGAGTTCTACTCCCTCCCACGCCTAGCCGTGCGTGGCTCTGCCGTGTCCGGGGAAAAGGGGATCCTGGGGGTTGAGCCGACGCTGGGTGATTGGACCTTTAAGGCCCCCGGCAGAGGCAACACACCCCTTTGGCCCCGGCTTCACGTGGACGGCACCTCTGGGCTGACCCACCCAGGGGAAATCGGCAGTCGCCTTTTCCTATATCTTCGTCTTTTGTTTTCACTTTACATCTTTCCTGTCTTCTCCTCACTTCATTTTACTTCCAATTTTTCCTGGCGGCAAGGGTTAACCTTGTGTGGCTATCCAAACTAGGGTAAACCATATTGGGTTATAGTAACTGCGTACTGCTGGCGTTGCGCAGACATGCCTACATGCTCTGCCACGTCCCCTCGTTGGACTCCGTGGTGGGTGGTAGGCGCCGTTACCGAAAAATACACATTTTCTCATGGGATCCCCGACCCCCTCTTTAACTGATCGTGCTTCGAAAAAGGTACGCACCGATGCAACATTCCTACTTTGGCCCAAAAACAAAGAAACTTTTCCAAAATACCGTGTCCTCCACTGCGAACAATCATCTACAAAAGCTAGAGCAATCTCACCCTTCCTTGTAGCCAAGTGCTTGAGAGAGACCATTGGAACCGGTTATAACGCCACGAAGATGGCAAGTGGAGATCTGCTTCTCGAATTAAAAGACAAGGAACAGTACAATAAACTCTCGCACCTCGTGGCCTTTGGTAACATCCCTGTCTCTGTGAGCGCACACCGCACCATGAATACAGTGAAGGGCGTGGTATCGGACGAAGATTTGATGACACTGAGTGAAGAAGAGCTCTTTGATGGACGGAAGGATCAAGGTGTAATACAAGTCCAGCGCATCAAAATCAGACGTAACAACAATGAAATAGCAACAAAGCACTTGATACTCACCTTCAACTCAACCACTTTACCCGAGACTCACGAAACTGGCTATGTAAAACTCCATGTCCGACCCTTCATTCCAAACCCGAGGCGTTGTTTTAAATGCCAGCGATTTGGTCATTCATTCCAGAGCTGCCGAGGACAGCTGATGTGTGCTAAGTGTGGCACAACCGGCCACAGTGCTGATGAATGTAGTCATGACGAGATCCTCTGTGCAAACTGCGAAGGTAGCCACCCCGCATACTCCAGAGCGTGCCCAGCCTGGAAAAGAGAAAAAGAAATAATAACTATAAAAGTTAAGGAAAATATCACATTCAGGGAAGCAAGACAACGAGTCTTGTTATCATTAGCACTGAAAACACCTTTTGCCGAAGTGGTGCAACGAGGGGCGGCACCACAAAGGCCCTTGGCAGTTGCCCGGACCACGCCTAGCGTGCCGAGGCCAATGCCACACGCCCCTGCGGCGGGAGCAGCCAGCGCTGCCCTGCCCACATTCAGCCTGTCCACACCAGTGACCTCTACAAGCTCTGGCAGCAGCCAGGGCAATCACGAGGCCAAGGGGGCTCCATCAACCCCCAGCTCGGTGGGGACAAAGACTTCGTCGATCAAGGCGAAGTCTAAGCGACGCACAGATCGCTCTTTAGAGCGGGTGTCCAGTGCCTCGCAAGAGGCTATGGACACCAGTTCAAGCCAAACGGCGCAGGAAGCGCCGAAGGAGCGGCGAGCTTCGCTCGACCGCCCCGAAAAAGGACAGAACGTCGATTAAAGGGCCTGACAAAGGCCCTGTAAAATGAGTTAATTCCCGTCTTCTTTGCACACAGCACTTTTTCCCTTTTTTTTCCACTATGGACAAAATCATACAGTGGAACGTAAGGGGAATACTTAGAAATTTAGATGACGTCCAAGAACTTCTGTGTAAGTTTAACGCGAAAGTGCTATGTGTGCAAGAAACGCACTTAACTCCTAAGCACAAGGACTTCCTACGACAATATATTATTTTCCGAAAAGACCGGGAGGATCCTGTTGTACCATCTGGCGGTGTAGCCATTATAGTCGATCGTAGTATAGCATGCCAGCATTTGAAGCTCCAAACGGCCCTGGAGGCAGTGGCCATTCGAGCTGTACTTTTTAACAAACTTATTACCATATGTTCTGTGTACATACCACCACATCAACAGCTACACAGACATGATCTGGAATCACTAATAGATGAACTCCCAGAGCCATTTCTGGTTCTAGGTGATTTTAATGCACACAATGTCCTGTGGGGCGATGCTCACTGTGATGCGCGAGGACGTCTCATTGAGCAGCTCCTTTTCTCTTCTAGTTTATGTCTTTTAAATATGAAGGAGCCTACGTATTTTAGCCTTGCAAGCAACACATACTCCTCCATAGATCTTAGCATTTCATCACCGTCCCTTTTACCTGTTTTTAAATGGAACGTTCTTAAAAACCCTTATGGGAGTGATCACTTCCCAATCATCCTGAGTGCGCCGAACAAAGATCAACTACCCCCGCAGGTTCCTCGATGGAAGATTGAGTCAGCTGATTGGGAAGGGTATAGAACTCTTACACACATGACATGGACTGAGCTGTCTGCCCTGACCATAGATGACGCTGTCACGTATTTTACAGCTTTTATACTTGATGCCGCATCTAAATGTATTGCCAAAACGAGTGGCATGTCTTCTAAACGGCGAGTCCCATGGTGGAACGACGCATGCAGGAAAGCACGGACCACTCGGAACAAAGCATGGGCGTTGCTTCGCGATTCCCCTACAGCAGAAAACCTGGAAAATTTCAAACGGGTCAAATCGCAGGCACGGAGAACGCGTCGACAAGCTAGACGAGAGAGCTGGACAAAGTTTATATCGAGTATCAACTCGTACACAGATGAGGGAAAAGTGTGGAATAAGGTAAAGAAAATTAAGGGCCAACAAACGTATTCTCTTCCACTAGTAAATAGCCTCGGGGAAAGCTTGGAGGATCAAGCCAACTTTCTTGGCACACATTTCGAACACATATCGAGCTCCTCACACTACTCCGAATCCTTCCAGAATTACAAGGCACGAATAGAAAAACAAAAGTTAGAAAGAAAATCCCCAAGAAATGAGGCATATAATGCACCATTCTGCTTAGCAGAACTGCGAACAGCACTCAACTGCTGTAATACATCTACCCCAGGTTCTGACAACGTAATGTACGCGATGCTGAAGGAACTACCCTCCGAAACTAAAGAAACCCTCCTCTCTCTTTATAATCGCATATGGTTTTCAGGTGTGATCCCCTCCTCCTGGAAGGAGGCTGTTATAATTCCAATTTTGAAGCAGGGAAAGGATCCCTCTACTGTATCAAGTTACAGACCTATAGCGTTAACAAGCTGCCTCTGTAAGCTATTTGAAAAAATGATTAATTGCCGCTTACTCCACTACTTAGAAACAAACAATTTGCTCGACCCATTTCAGTGCGGGTTTCGAGAAAGTAGATCCACCACAGAACACCTTGTTCGTATTGAGGCACAGATCAGAGACGCCTTCGTCCATAAACAATATTTTCTCTCTGTGTTCCTCGATATCGAAAAGGCTTATGATACAACATGGCGTTTTGGAATTCTAAGAGACCTGTCCCACCTTGGTGTGCGCGGAAGAATGTTTCACATAATTGAAAGTTACCTGTCAAACCGAACATTCCGTGTCCGTGTGGGCAGTGTTCTCTCCCGAACATTTGTCCAGGAAACAGGCGTGCCACAAGGTGGTGTACTTAGTTGCACACTTTTTATTATCAAAATGAATTCCTTGCACTTGTCCATCCTCCGCAATATGTTTTATTGTACATATGTCGACGACGTTCAGCTTGGCTTCAAGTCATGCAACTTGGCAATGTGTGAGCGGCAGGTTCAGCTGGGTTTGAACAAGGTCTCCAAATGGGCTGATGAAAACGGATTTCGACTTAACCCACAAAAAAAGCACCTGTGTCTTGTTCTCTCGAAAGAGAGGCATGCATTCGGAACCTGACATTGAACTGAACGGTCAACGTCTGTCTGTCAATGCGGAGCATAAATTTCTAGGCTTAATCTTGGACAACAAGTTGACCTTCGTACCGCACATCAAGTATCTAAAAACAAAATGCTTAAAAGCCATGAATGTTATAAAAGTGTTGTCACGTACTACGTGGGGTAGTGACAGGCAATGTCTCATCAACCTGTATAGAAGCCTCATTCGCACCCGCTTAGATTATGGGGCCGTTGTTTATCAGTCTGCGACTCAAAGTGCTTTGAAGATGCTGGACCCCGTGCACCATTTGGGCATCCGCCTTTCTACGGGTGCTTTTCGCACCAGCCCCGTAGAAAGCCTTTATGTTGAGTCAAATGAGTGGTCGCTTCATCTCCAGAGAACTTACATGTCCTTTGTATACTTCCTGAATGTGAAAGCAGACAAGAAGCACCCCTCATACTCTACTATTAATGATCTGTCGAGCTCCATTCTGTTCCAAAACAGGCCTTCAATGAGGCAGCCCTTCTCAGTACGCCTGAAGGGTCTAGCTGAAGAAACTGGA